TGGGGTGCTCGAAGGACATCGAGGCATTCGTATATTATATTGCCTACATCCGTTAATTCTCTATACTTCTGCTCCTAATTTCAAGGTAATTCATTAATTATCTAATTACTAGGCAATATATTTTATTTTTGTTTAATACGTATTAAGGTTCATGAATAAGATATATAGGTCTATATATATATATATATTTTAATATATATATTAATATACAATGTAGCCGCTATGTACGTGTGTATCGCGTTTAGGCGTTGCGGTTGGTGCGGGGGAGGTAATATGAGCTCCCAGTTTGTTTCCTTCCGGTTGCCGTCGTAAACCCGAATTTTCCGCACAGGAGCGACCGACGAGGACGGGCTCGCGACTCGGTCGTCGCCTACGTAGTCGGTCGGCGTGCAGCACGCCGTAGCCAGACGCATGCTTACGCGCCACGCACGACGTCGACGATCCCGGGAGACCGCGCTACCGGAATTCCATTTGAACACTGACGTGCTGGCGTATCGCGCGGCTTATAAAGGCGCGGCGGCGGTTATTCGTGCAAGCCGCGAGCATTTCATTGCGGTATTTGGCGCGTTCGCAGTTACCGCGTGGCTCATTGCGAGCAGAGCGAGGAGGTTAGCTGTGTACGGAGGTAAGGAGGAGGTTTAGCTGCGGACAGGCAGAGCAAGGAGAAGGTTTCTGTGTTACCGGAGAGCAAAGGAGGAGCGTTAGCTGTGTACCGGGAAGCAAGGAGAGAGTCGAAGCAAAGGCTTGGTCGGACGACACCAGGACTAATGACGTCATCGCGGCTAATGTACGATCGAGCGATAAGGAACCTTCAGGCGCTCGTTACCGACGATTGCTTAAACCAGCCATCGAAGACAGCAGTGGAAGCTCGGCGCGAGAGAGAGAGAGAGAGCGACGAGAGAGAGAGAGAGAGAGGGAGAGGAGAGAGAGAAGGGAGGAGAAGAGAAGACGAGAAGAGAGGACAGAGAGACGTAAAACAATAAGACGTGCAGAGACCGCGAAAGGTTAGAAGACTAAGGAGAAAGAGTGGATAAAAGAGCTAAGAAAAAATAGCGCAAAGGAGAGTGAGGGGGAAAGAAACGCGGTGGAAGAGAGAGAAGAGAGAAATGAGAGAGAAAGAGAGAGAAAGAAGAGAGAGAGAGAGAGGAGAGAGGAGTAGAGAGAGAGAGAGAGAGGAGCAGAGAGAGAGAGGGAAGAGCGCAGGAGAGATCGGGAGCAGAAAAAAGAAAGGTGGGGCACACCAGCTTCGGGACACTGCGAGTGACATTACGCCTGGTTAATAAAACCACATAAATATATGGTGCGTGGTGCTGGGTGGCTTGCAGCAGTGGCTTACACACCATACATGGACATGGTGTGGAGCGTCGTAGATTAAGCAGCAGCACAGGCAGCAGGGCGGAGCAGCAGCGCAGTAGCAGCAGCAACAAGCAGCAGAGGAGCAGCAGTAACAGCAGCAGCAGCGACAGCACAGCAGCAACAAGGAGCAGCAGCAGCAGCGCAGCCAGCCAGCAGCAGGGAGGAGCCCAGCAGTAGCCAGCAGCGCAGCAGCCAATCGCAGCGCGAGGAGCCAGCCAGCCGACCAGTAGCAAGCAGCCAGCAGCAGCAGCCAGCAAGCAGCGACAGTGCAGCAGCAGCAAGCAGCAGCATCGCGGAGAGAGAGAGAGATAGAGAGAGAGCGCGCACTTGAAAGAGTTGCTGCCAGACATGGACACCTGCTAAACGTCGATGCCGAATGCTGCCAAACACACAAACTATCGCGAACGAACACGCAAGAACTCGTAGTAATGGTTATTGACATCATATTTATAACAAAAGAACACACGCAGCAACACGATAAACAGACATGGGATAAAGCTTGGCGGGTAGTGTGGTGAAAGGGGGCTTTCACCAGCAGTCCCAGTCACGGCCACTTCACACTTCTCACGTGCAGGTTTCACCAGCAACAGCGATTATCCTGGTGCAGACGCAAACATCGCAGGTTGCCCGGATACGCTAGCAGATGGCGACGTCACGGATATGCACGATTCCATGCTCACTTCCCCGTTTCCCTAGCAACGGACAAACTAACGGGGAACGACGCAAGCTCGCGCAAAATGCGTCAGCTGCGCCCCCTGGTGAGTACCGCTGCAGTTTTTTAACGGCCATCTCGCGCACGATTCTCGGCGAGAAAAGCCCGCCATGTGACACTCGCCCGTCCCTCAAGGCGAGCACGACCCGTTTCTTCGCAGACGACGCCCCCTGGTGGGCGACACCCGATTTTTCGTCCGAAGCAACACGCCTCCGGTTGTTCCCCGTCGGAAACTCGCGAGGAGACGCTCCCGCGGCGCCCCCTACTTGGGCGGGTCGGCGGGGTCAGCGGCGGCGGCGGCGGCGGAGGGGCGTGGCTGCAGCAGGTAGCTGCACGCGTCCTGGTGGCAGCGCTGCAGCGGGTGGGCGAGCAGGCGAGCGAACGTGTCGTGGAGACGCGCGATGTTGCGGTCGACCTCGAAGAGATACGACGTCTGCCAGATGTCGTCGAGCGTGCAGAGCGCGTCGAACACCTCCTGTAACACACGCAGGGGGAAAACATCATTCACGAGACACGCCGAAAACACATCACCCCTCACCACACTGTGAGGTGCACGGATGCAAACACGTTTTACTGTAATACCACACAGAGTACGAGTAACATACTTGTGCAAAGTATAAGTCAATAAATTGGAACTATTATGATTATTATTGTTATTATTATAATTGTCATTGTTGTTACTATAATTTTAATTATAATAATAATTATTATTACTATTATTATTAGTGATACTACTACTGCTACTGCTACTACTAGAAGTAGTAATTAAACTCACACTGCGAGTAGACAGCCAAAAGCAATGTAAAAGTACAGGATCCAAATTTCCGAAAGTTAAGGTTTAAAACGGCAGTTTTAACGGGGAATAATTGCTGTATTGATAACTATTGAAATAGTGTAAAATAAGATCCAGACACTGTACAGATAAATCCGTCCCCTCCGTCCTGCTGATTTTTTTCACACGTTATTGTGAATAGCGCAGCACTGCAGCTGAGGACCGATTTATAAATATTTTTCATAGATTCTCCCCGCCGAGTTCCTGATTTTTTTTACTGACAGCGGGGATGGGGGGGGGGCGGGGTAAGCCTAAATCTGGTGCCACCCACGCTGCCCATCTCAACCGCTCACACATGATATTACATATGCAGTAGCTATTACTTGTATTGCAGTACGACGCATACAGTACTGGCAGTGCCACCTACAGGGAATCGTGTGCATACACCACACATCGCATCACTCCTTGCTCACTCACTACCTCCACATCATCTGTGTAGGTGACAAGGAGCTAAACATAACAAGGAGAGGAAGCGGATTGGCTGTGTGCTTTTCGCCTCAAGTGCGCCATCTATGGACCATAATCAGCTGAAACGGCTGTGCAGACCCGAACCCAGAGACAATAGAACACTAATCTGTTCTAGCGTCTCTGCCGAACCCAAATTTGGGCCAAATATGTCGGCGCTTCCTCTCCTTGTTATATTTAGCTCCTTGGTGAAGGTGACGAGGTCGCGCGCGCTCACCTCACACTTGTTGTCGTTCGTCGGCACATCGTGCGCATAGATGACGTCCGTGAAGAAGTAAGGTGATCGCTGCAGCATGTCCAGCACCTAGGTGGCAGCACGATACAGTCATTGACACGGCAAACGCTACTCGTTATAAACGTTAACAGTTTCAGTTGACAGTCGTTTGAGCTTTGGTTGTTGTGAAGTGTATGGTGTGGCATTCGCATAGTAATGAATGCAAAAATGGTGACTAACCCTTCCCTGGCCAATATAACACAATATAACAGGATGTATGATCAATAGCAGTCTTCACTTGTCAGTAGTCTGTAGCAGTAATAACTTAAAGGAACAGTAGCCTCTAGGTTCTAGGGTTATTTTCAGCTAATTTAGGTTATAATTGCACTACATAAAAAGTTTCATGGTTCAATTACTATTAGAAATATTTTTTTTTAATGTTTTAAAACTAACGACTACAGTTTGATTACAACGACGGTGGCGCCACTCAGAGCGCACGATCTGAGAAGTTGCGCAAAACCACTTTCCAGCCAAGGGCTACAGACCGAGGGTATTTCTTATTTATTCATTTAAAAGCAAAAGGATTGTAATATCTTATAAACGACATATAGTTTCAGTTATAATATGGATAAATTTGCCCTAAAATGAATATCGTTCGGTTAAATAGCATTTAGGTATAAATATAATTGCACTTTTGTGATTAGCCCTCGGTCATGTACCTGCAAAATAAAAATGCAAATACGCAACTTTTTCAGGGTGGCTGCACGGTCGCGGGTGTCATGGCGCCGTTCAAATTTCGTAGCGTTGATGTGTAAATAATTAATTAAGTATCTGGTGACAAATACATGTGGGTATAGACGATTTGTTATACAGTAAGTACAGTTGTATGCAGTAAAATCCTAGAGGCTACTGTCCCTTTAAGCAATGAGTACGAGTTAGCAAAGGACTCGATTAAGGGCGTGGGTAGGGGGTGAGAGTGAGGCGAAAATCGGGGTAGGGTTAGAAATATTGGAGGGGAAGTAGGGGAGGCGAAAAAATGAAGGTGAGATTAGATGTAGGGGGTGTAAGTGCAGCAAAGTCGCGGTAAGGTTGGGAATATGATCAGAAGTAGGTATGTAAAAGAAATGGGAGTAGTGGGATGAGGAATGGATGTGCGGAATGGCGACACAGAGTACCGAGCGGCCACCCCAGGGGGCGCCAGCAGCTCACCTCCTTGCCGTCTTGGAACAGCGGCATGCAGTGCGAGCGATTGTAGAGCACGACGACGCGCACGACGTACGGCGGCGGCACGATGCTCGGCTTCTCCACCAGGGGGAGCTGCACGTGCTCGAAGATGACGCGGAAGAGTGCGGAGAGGTCGCAGCTGTCGCACGTCTGCTGCGGGTCGAGTCCTTCGATCATCGACACCATCTCTTCCACGTCGGACGTGAAGCCATACATCTACGGACAAGACACGACGTATGCAGCAGGATATGATTTAATTAATTAATTTAATTAATTAATTAAATTAAATTATTTTTATTTTTATTTGCAATTTTATTTTTATTTGTAATTTTATTTTAATTTTTAATTTAATTTTATTAATAATTTAATTAATTTTTAATTAATTAATTAATTTTTTTAATTGGGAATGCTAGGATATTTCATGCTGCAGACGCTTGACAGTGAAAGTGTCTGAATTTGACAGTGGCTATAGAGGTGATAGCAATAGTGGTAGCAGCCTCTGAAGTGCCAGGGTACGTTCCGGCAGTATCCAGGAAGACATAGAACCTGGCAGCGTTAGTGACAGTACCAGAAGTGACACACGAGAGATAGCAGAGAATATACTTTTATAAAAGCTCATGCCAGCGAGCCTTGAACCCTTACCCAATGCGCTGTCTCAGTAATCAGTATCAGTGCAAATTCGTGCTCATTGTTGATTCTGTGCTTTAACTTTACATACTTCTCAATGACTCTCTTGAGCATAGTTAGTGGTTCATAGTGCGACCTGCAACATAGAGATTGTTAAACAATTGTTATGCTGCAACCAAATAGAATGGAACGACTTTATTTTGTGTTTATTTCACACCAATGTGATTGCAATTCTATAATACACATAAAACCATCTAATAAACTATCTTTATTTGTTTTTGTTTGAATAAAGTTTCACGAGATAGAGGCAGTACATTAATATTGGTTTTCAGTTGTATGCTGGTATAACCCACCCTATAGAAACATTTGCAGCCCAGTGTACCTACCCATCTTTCGCACGGAATGGCTCCTGACTGTGTTCAGAGGATATGTCCAAGCATATAACCTGGAAAAGGGATCTTATGACCTATATTTAAATCTGTAATAGGCTGAAAAGTATCTAAATTCTGTTATTGACATTACAGCATCAAATAAGCTACTTTGTAAATGTTTGTCCCATTACACGTTGTTACTGAAAATATACATTAAGATTAGGTCTAACACTTTAATTATATAATGGAAATAGCTATACATTGTATAAACCTGGCCATGGTGTCAAATGGGTACCTGGTCAACAAAAAGATGAGAAAAAAGCCTAACACCATTGCATACTTTGTACCAAGGTGTTTTCTGATTGATGGAAATTGATTGAAATTAAGTCAATGGCTAATGCACATGGCTGTTATCGCAGTAGTGCAACACAGAACATGCCACCTTACACATAAGCAAATTTTGCACCTCAAAAAGCTCAGGAGCCTGTTATCAGAAATAATACAAATAAAATATGACATAAGTCTAGAATGTCACACATGATGATTCTGACAATGGTTCCCCGACTATTGTGAGAAGATTTCCACTTTCAACTACGAAATACATCTATAAAACATTGCTTCTACACAACGAATTCAAAGCCTAATTGCAATTATGACCTTTACATTACTTGCTTAGCCATTCTACTGCCTTTGCCACTGACTGCACAGTCTCAGATGATGCAATGTCCATCAACTGATCAAGCATTTAAGTTAACGTTAAAAACACAGTCTGTGTCGCTATGTAGTTAATTGCCTACGCTATTGTAGCAGCGTAACCAGCACCTACATGGCAGCCCAGAGCTAGACTCAAGCTAGTGAGGCTACTCAGTTGCAACACGAGCGTGGCTAATTTAATCTACCGAGGAAGATGAGCGACTGTGGTCGGTATTGACATTTTTTACAAACACCATAAACAACCATAAACAACAACACCATAAACAACCATAAACAACAACACCATAAACAACCAACCAAGTTATAGTAAATATAGTTATACTTATAGTTATAATGACAACCCTTACAATTTTCTCTGCACAATTTACACGAGGTGGGACGATCTGTTTATCAAACTTCAGTAGGCCTGACTCTTCTTCTAGAGGTGCTTTGACCCGTGAGACCCGCCGCAGGCATTCCGGAGGAACCTCATCTGGCTTACTCTGTATATCATTATCACCACTAACGACACTACTCGTAGTCGTAGCCACTGGCACTGGCACTGTCGTGGAACAAGGCGTTTCAAACCCAAAGTCTGCATTTTCCACTGGCTCCAAAAAAGGAGGCTGTGCCGATTGCCTATCTTCTGTCATTTGATCGTCGCATGATGACAAGCTAGAGTCATCTCGTGTGTCTTCTACTGAATACGCCATTCTTTCATCGTCTTCTCTAGGAACTTTGATCTTCTCTATGGGCGCAGACATGTTTGATGTGGGCAGAAGAAAATAAGTGCTCAATTGTTTTGACATGGCGACGGCCAGGTAAATTTTGTTTCGTAAATACTTTTGTCGTCGAGACAGTGGTTTATATTTACGTCTTCGTATTTGATGCAATTCAATGACTCTGTGACTTACAAATAGCCTGTTATATGTTCTGGCATATCTATTTTAAAATTCGAGTTAAAATATGCCAAAATACGGGTAAACTAGGACCTAAATAGTAAATAATATTAATAAAATATGTAAAATATGAATTACATTTACAGATGAGATTGTAATCATTATCATATCTCTAAAGTTAGCTCCAAGAAACGGTATTGCTAGGGTTAGAATTGACGTTAGAATTGACGTTAGTCACACAGCCTGGTCTGGTTACTCTAAAGTAAAGACTAAACGTTTGGTTTCAGAGGCGCTAAATTAGGCTAAGAAAACTACTGCGTACCCATGTAAAGATTAACGTGTTACGCAGAACTTCAGGCTGAAGAATCTGGACCTTTCGATCGCACATCAATCGGTCTCTACTTAGTACTGCCACGGCACTGGCCCCATTGGCATTGGCATTGATGTGAATGAACAAGGTCTCTTAATTAATGACTCGTTGACTAATTCACACAGTGTCATTTCTAGTTACTATACAGTATACTAGGTATTACATGTAGTGAGGTAGGTATTGTAGTAGGTTGGGTTAGGTATTGGGTAGCTTGACCAGGCTGTAACTGTAAGACTGTTTCATGTCGTAGGAACGTGACACCCTTCCATACAAAAAAAGAGTGGCTATATGACCGGCAGCCGGCATATATCTGACGGCTGCCAGGCACGGTCTTCAATTTCCTAAATGCCCGGCAGTTTTTAATTTTCAGCGTTATGTCGAGTAAACAAGGGTTAGGGTTAGGAACTGCCGGGCATTTAGGAAATCGAAGACCGTGCCCGGCTGCCGGGCATATAGCCACAACTTTGTAACTTGAAAATGAATGTCGAATCTCGTAATTAAAACAATCGTATTAGCACATTTGACCTAACTTGGGACAAATTGCAAGTGCATTATAACATGCAGCTTAACTGGCATTTGCCTCAGTATTCATGTTATAATCAGACAATTTGGAAAGGTATTATGTTGTTGAAAGTTGGCAAGCTCCATGCGTGCACTACTGCGCATGTGCAAGAATTGATGACAGTGCGGGAAAATTATACAGAATTCAAAGAGTAATGGTCGCCTTGTTCGAATTTCTCCCTTATCAAATCTCAAAAATGCGTTACTACAGGGCACAAAATTAGCACTGGCCCACCGGTATATGCCGGCAGATTATTTGGAGGGCCAGTAACATTGGCAAAACACCGGCCCTCCGAGCCGGTGATTTCAGCCGTGTTATTGAGTACCTACATTTTTATTTATAGCATAAATGAGCAAATAGCCTACATTACTGTTTTACCTGAAGGATATCACACCATAGTTTATCAACATTTTTACAAACTTGAAACCGAGAATGCAAGCGTGAAACATAACATTGACAAAAACACTTCGGAGATCATTCACGATCTGCATTATAATCTGTTCAACAGCTACTAGTACTACGTACGCGATGCAGCACACTACAACATTGTTCGGATAAGCAAGAGTCAGTGAAACAGTCTTATCTTTATTTTTTTAAATTTGTGAGGGCTGGTAAAAACCTACTGCTACCAGCCCTCTGGGCCGGTGCAAAAAAATCCGAATTTCATTCCCTGTGCGTACACATAAATACATACCTGGCAATAGCGCGCATATATAGTTAATACCGGCATGGTAGTACAGAGAAGCAGTAGGCCCTAAGAGCCATACGTTTGCGAGCGTTCGAGAGTGCCCATTTTGTTACAGCGCTTTGTTAGCTACAAGGTTTGGTCGCTACATCTGCTTGTGACATTCTTGCCATGTAGTGAGAAATGAGAAGGTAACTCGTGGCTAAGTATTAGGTAGACTTTATAGTAGGCACAAGTTGTGATGGACAAGTTGCATGTAATACAAAGAGTTTTGTACTAGGAGTAGTAACTAGAGCTAACCACAATATAGTGGGTTGGGATTTGAAGTATTATGTTTGTAATTTGTATTATATATCAGTGCATACCAGCAGAAAGAAACAACAACCACATGCCTGAAAATTTTATCCCCACACTGATTGACTATAAGAGTGGTCGTGATTTTTCTTGGCTTTTTGCATGTCTAGCTTGTAACTTTTTACAAGGTTTATCATTGTCATGTGAGAATTTGTTTCCACTTTGTTTGATGAAACCAATTTATTGCATCGTTGAGATTTAGTTTTCTTGTTTCCGTCAATCCGTAATGGAGCTAGAGCTTTCCTTTTGTATCTGGTTAACTAAATTAGAAACATTTTCTACTGCAATCAACAGTGTTGCTCTATCAATTTGATAAATGTTTGGCTCTCTCTCCTTTTTCCTCACAGTTTTTTTGGACCAAAAATTATTATTCGTTATAAGGGAGGAGCATATGTTATGTTATAAGATATTTTGGTCAGAACGTAGCAGAACTATGAGTTAATTTGCAGACTTTCACAATGTGCAGCGCTGTCAAGCCACTTCATATTTTCTACCATAGTAGGGTATTGATAAGATCAGTCTCATGGGAACAGGGAAGTAGTTCAATGATGATTCACATAGTTCCAATATTAAGTTAGAGCCCAAGTCTTCTATATAATATGACATGTATGTGTAGTTATACCTACTGGGGTGTAATTAGGTCTAGGTACCAGAATCGATTGTAAGCAGTCTATAGGTGATGCAGAGATGGAGTATCTTGTATATAAATAGGAAGTCCTTTGAACTGTACTCAATAGGAAACGTTACCTAAGTGCATATATGTATATGACGCTTTTTTTTCCCATTTTTTACTGCTCACTCTATCAAGGTAAGGAATGCCTATTCGATGTGGACCATGACATAAAGAGAGGGAGACAAGTTCACACTTATTATGGAGCATGTGATTCCGGAGCATCTGCGGCAACAGCAGCAACAGCAGCAACAGCAGCAACAGCAGCAACAGCAGCAACAGCAGCCGCATCAAGAAACAGAACAGAATCACCAAGAACAATCAGGCACCCAGCAAGAGGAGCAGCAGCGACAACAACAACAACAACAACCACAACAGGAACAACAACAACAACAACAGCAGCAGCAACAGAACACTCAAGAACAGGGACCAGGGCAGGAGCAACAGCAGCAGCAGCAGCAGCCACAACAACAACCTCAACACCAGCAGCAGCAGCAGCAACAGCAACAACAACAACAACAACAACAGCAACCTCAACAGCAACCTGGCCAACGTCAGGGCGGAAACAACAACAACAACCCTAATCCTATCGTCAATGTCAGAGATCGATTATTCCACGCTCTCTTCTTCCGGATCTCGTTGGCATATGCAAGAGCTGTGCCCCGCCCACTCAGACGAGCACTAGAGTTTACCATTCTTATCAAGGTAACTAGTGTTTACTATCTTTATAAAGGTAACTAAAGTTTATGATCCTTATAATTTAACTAGTGTTTACCATCGCCATCCTTATAAAGGTTACTATCTTTATTAAGCTTACTAGACTTTACCATCTTTAGAAAGCTAACTAGAGTACCATCTTTATAAAGCTAACTAGACTTTACCATTCTTATAAATCTAACTAGAGTACCATCTTTATAAAGCTAACTAGACTTTACCATTCTTATAAATCTAACTAGAGTACCATCTTTATAAAGCTAACTAGAGTTTACCATTCTTATAAATCTAACTAGAGTACCATCTTTATAAAGCTAACTAGAGTTTACCAACCTAGAAAGGTGACTACGGTTAATCGTGTACTGTATTACTGTATACTGTATTTTATTGTATACTGTGGTCTGCAGTTCTGAACATTGTATGAACCATGCTACAAAGTCTGTGTGAAATTGACAGCAGATTACTAAAAGAAAATACGTGAACAACTATTTTTGTGGTTTCCGGATTGGCGAGATATATATAAAGCTTTGCACCAAGCGAGGCACTCTGGTGATGGCGGACAGCGTATGGTGACTGATGTGTGTTTGCAGGCGATCGGAGCATTACTGATACTGGCTTACGTACATGTCGCCTTCTCACGCACTCCCATCAACTGCCTGGACTTGATTCAGGAGACGTGGCCGCGTGACGGAATCCTGCGCGTGCAGATCGTGCGCAATGGACACAACTTCAGGTGTGTGTGCGTGTGTGTTTGTGTGTGTGTGTGCGTGCGTGTGTGCGTGCGTGCGTGCATGTGTGTTAGTTTGTGTGTGTGTGTGTGTGTGTATGTGCGTGCATGTGTGCGTGTTAGTTTGTGTGTATGTGCGTGTATGTATGTGCGCGTGTGTGTGCGTGTGTGTGCGTGTTTGTGCGTGCGTGGTTGCTCGTGTGCATACATCAATGTCTTTCCGCGGGTGTTCATGCGCACGCACGTGGCTTGTCATATTCCGACGTCGCTTCGCACTAGTGACAGTAGTGATAAACTCTGCAGAAATAACTTAGTTCGATGAAGTAGTGATAAACTCTGGAGAAATAACTTATCTCCCTCTTCCCTCCCGGCAGCCTGGCGGAATCCTACAAGCGGGAGCAGGAGATCCGGGAGCGCGAACAGTTCCTCGACATGCTATACGAGAACGTCAGCTTCTACGACTCGGAGCTCATCTTCGGCATGACCGTTGACGCCGACGGTGTCGACGCCGCCGCGCACCCGCCGCAGACGCCCGCGGCGGAGGACAAGGGGGAGGAATGGGAGGAGGGGCGAGGGAGGGACGTCTCCGCTGCGATGGCGGCGGGTTCCACTGCGAAGCGCGAGGACCCAGCAGGTACCGGCACGTTACCGCGACGTTCGCTTGTTTTGCGTGGTGGCGATCGATTAATGCGTTTGAGCGAGGTGATATACCCTGCTAGAATGTCGTTGCAAGTTCGGTCAAGTTACACTCTTCTCACACGTTCTCACCACGTTGTCTACTCTGAGTCACTTTGTTACTAGGAAGGATTTTTAGGATGCCCCTATGGCAATGTTGATTGCCTACAGCTACCTGGCAATCACACTGGGCACGTAGATCAAATCAAAGTGAATGGCAAGAGTTTTACTAACGGGAAGATAGTGTATGTAGATAGAAGTCTAGGAAGCAATGCACATGTGTACGCACAAAATGCAGTTAGGGGTTGTTTAGGAGATGCAGCCGAGATGTAATATACTATATCTTCTCAAGATTACTCAAGATAACTCATTGAGAGCTAACCATCCCTCAGATATGTTCAGTAGTCATACATGTACAGCTCTGACTGCAAGTATCTCTTAATTTAATCTTAGTAAGAATCGATATGGATGATTAAGTGAACGTCAATAATGGAAATTGAGTAAAGATTGTCAGCATGCGAGGACTCGTTCTGTGCCTCCTCCGCACTCAGCGATGCCTCCTTCATCACCCCTGTATCGACGGATCCCTCCTTCCTCCCTACATCGTGTGCTTCGATGAGTCTCTTCTTCACCCCCTCCGCTGCCTCACCCGCTGCTGGCTCACCTGTGAAAATAGAACAGAGGGTCGTCGAATTCTTAATACTATTAATCTTTTTAAGACAATCCTTTGCTTTTTAAGACAATCCTTTGCTTTTTAAGACAATCCTTTGCTTTTTAAGAGACTGCTTTGCATTAAATCAGAAATCGTTCGGTGTCATGGCAAGTGGAACGGGCCCAAATGTAAGTGTTTCCTTTGTCCTCAGAGCAAATCACTCATTAACAACATTACTGGGGACAAGGTGGAATGCATACTCAACAAGCTCCACCCATACACAGGAATACATGTGGAATGCTGGAAAGCTTGCAGCAGCAAACCAGGTGAAGCAGTCAACCACAGCAGTTTATTCCCATGGATCTCATCTAATATTCAGGGGCACCACAACAAGGATAGGCAACCTTAAGAGAGCAACCTTAGAGAGGCAACCTAGATAGGCAACTTAGATAAGCAACCTTAGATAGGCAACCCTAGGATAGGCAACCTTAGAAGGGCAACCTTAGGACTAACTGTTGAAGCCTTCGTAAAATGCGAGGTCTATCTTCATGCTGATCGGAGGATAGAGGAGCCACGTCTATTGTGAACAGTTGAGCTCACAAATGAATCAACAATGCCGGTCCTTATACTACAATCACCACTATCAATCTTACCTCGTCACCTTCTTTACGTTAAAGTGAGGCAGTAGCTTAGTTTTCCTTACTTTTTCTTTTCTTTTTTATTAAGGAGGAGGTCCATCTGGAGAAGGGAATTCTCCCGTTCCGCGAGACACTTTCCGACTTTGACATGTTCAAGAAAGCCGGTGGGTGTTACTTGTTTCGTGCGAGTTGCGGAAAAAACAGGGAAAGTTGTATTTAAAATTCTTCCAGGCTTGGAAAGACCTGGAAAACAGGACGTGTCATTGATAAGTCCTGAAAAAGGGTCTGTTTTAATATCTGTTCCTGAAAAGTCCTTGAAATTGCGTCGTGATGTTTATCTCGTCTGAGAAGCAGCAAATTCTTGCTTTGTGCAAGAGTTTATTCACTAGTCATCGATTCAATAGTCGGTGATACGAGGCACAAAGACTGCGTTCAGCTAAAGTCTTGCTGTCATTATGTCACATATGTTTTGCCGTGGGTGTACTAGTCCAGGCGTTATCGAGTCTCCTGATGACTTGAATTGTGTTCTGTTTTGTTAACGCTACAGAGTAAATCATGCAGAGCTTTATTGTGCATGTGTATGGGGTGGATGAACGCATCACAAGCTGTGATTTGAGTCTATTTGAGTCTATACGAAAGAGATAATGAAGGAGCATGTATGAATTGAATGTCAGAGTACTGTGTAACCTATGAGTGCTCTCATGTACGTGTAAGAGATTCTAAATCTGCGAAAACGTGAACGTTGGAACCGTATGGAGTCTGCGCAGCATAATTCATGTGTACACGTATCACACTGTACCCTACTACATACATATCTTATATGTATAGCTATATGTACATGTATAGGTGTGCCTAGAGTTGTTTGTTAGTATCGATATCAAATTTGCGCACTCATATTTATGTATTTATTTATTCACATATTCATTCATATTTAGTAGCCGCGTCAGCGTTTTGGTTTTCCGCTTCAGTTTGGCCGGAAGAAGAGTACATAATTGAGTATTCACTGGAATATGGCTTCCTCCGACTCTAGTATGATAGCGTAGTATTGTACTAGTGTAGCAGTGTAGTAAGGTAGTAATGCAGTAGTATGATAGTGTAGTATTGTACTAGTGTAGCAGTGTAGTAAGGTAGTAATGTGCTAACGTAGTAATGTAGTAATGTAGACCGACTCTACAATACAGTAGATAGGAGCGCGCGTGCAGCAGCAGCAGCAGCAGCATGCACCATGTTACTTCACAGCCAATGCTGGTCACCCTCAGGGACCGATCGCTCGTCACGAGGACAGAGTGAGAGATACTCACCGAGTGCAATGATCATCACGGAAATATTGAGACGTTCCCTGGTGGCGGGAGACAGTAAACACAGTAATGTAGTAACAGTAAACACAGTAATGTAGTAACAGTAAACACAGTAATGTAGTAACAGTAAACACAGTAATGTAGTAACAGTAAACACAGTAATGTAGTAACAGTAAACACAGTAATGTAGTAACAGTAAACACAGTAATGTAGTAAGGTAGCAATGCAGTAGTATGATAGTGTAGTATTGTACTAGTGTAGCAGTGTAGTAGTGTAGTAATGTAATAGTATGATAGCGTAGTATTGTACTAGTGTAGCAGTGTAGTAAGGTAGTAATGCAGTAGTATGATAGTGTAGTATTGTACTAGTGTAGCAGTGTAGTAGTGTAGTAATGTAATTACTACATTACTGTGTTTACTGTTACTACATTACTGTGTTTACTGTTACTACATTACTACGTTATTAAACTGTGCGCTTGCAGATCCGAATCGCGACGCGTGCTTTGGCGACGTCTTCAGCCGCTTTCTGCTCGAGGAATTTCTGGGATACGATGACATTCTGATGGCGAGCATCAAGAGCCTCGCCGAGAAGGAAGACAACCAAGGTGAGCTCTCCTCCTCCTCGTCTCTGTCCTCCTCCTCCTCCTCGTCTCTGTTCTTCTCCTCCTCCTCCTCCTCCTCTTCCTCCTCCTCCTCCTCGTGCTCCTCCTCCTCGTGCTCCTCGTGCTCCCCGTCCTTTGTCCTGTTCCTCCTCCTCCTCCTCCTCCTCC